CTACTAGCTACTAGCTACTAGCTACTACCTACTACCTACTACCTACTACCTACTACCTACTACCTACTACCTACTGCTACTACTCCTACTACTACTACTACTACTACTACTACTACTACTACTACTTACTACCTACTACCTACTACCTACTACCTACTACTTACTACTTACTACTTACTACTTACTACTTATACTACTACTACTACTTCTACTACTACTACTACTACTACTGCTACTTCTTCGGCTACCGCTACCGCTACTGCTACTGCTACTACAGCAACAACTACTACTGCTGCTGCTGATTCTTCGACTACTACTACTACTACTACCTTGCTGCCGCTACTACTTCTACTACTACTGCCAGTACTAGTAGTAGTTCTAGTACTACTGCTGCTACTACTACTGCTACTGCCACTGGTACTGCTACTACAGCGACAACAACTACTACTGCTGCTGCTTCGACTACTACTACTACTACTACTCCTACTCCTACTGCTACTGCTACTGCTACTGCTACTACAGCAACTACTACTACTGCTGCTGATTCTACTACTACTACTACTGCTACTACTACTGCTACTACTACTACTACTTCGACTACTACTACTAATATATTGTAAAAATAATAGTTTTTATTGTGGCCGTGCTACTTTCAGACTCCCTCGACTGTTTGCTAGGGGAGTGGGGGCGTTTATGCGATTTAAGATCCAACATTAAGAAGTCAATAAATGAACACCATGTTCAAGTACAGATCGGTCATTGCGTCTAATTTGGGTCTGTCAGTCTGTCATTGTGTTTCAATCTCTGGCCGCTTACCAGGCCGAGCAGAAGCGCCTGGCCGCTGAGGCAGACCGAGAGCAGCAGCGCGCACGGGCGCCTGAGATGGCCAAAAGGCGTCGAAGAGATGGAACAACGACATCAAGGCATTCATTCAAGATTCAACATCGTTCAACTATTGAGGTAGTTGGAGCCCAAAACAGAGAAAGTTCATGAATGTGTGCGGCTCCTGTTGTGTGTCTTCTTGTTTGGAAAAAATATCCTGTTCAATGAGACCTGTTCGTTTTCCTGTCGCGCTTTTCCGCACCATGCATAGTGTCAATCTTGCCGGGTGCCGCGGCAGACCCTGAGGGTCTTGTTTCGGCTTCGGGTTCCGAAGGGCTCAGTTTTCGGCGGCAATGTGATGGCCTCGGCTCCAGCGTGATGATATGAGCGCAGAGGAAGCCCCTGCAGAGAAGGATTTAGGTTCATCTTCCTCGTCATCGGGCTTGCTTCATCAGATACACACGGCCATCCAGGCACACCTTACGGATTCGGATATATCTTCTGAATCGAAGGATGGACCGCCAGTGAACGTGGTGGATGATGGAGCAGGAATACTCATGAACGTGGTAGATGATGGAGCAGGACTTCCCATAAATGTGGTGGATGATGGAGCAGGACCAGCCGTGGTGGACGACGGAGCAGGAGCCTCCCTTCCTCCAGCGGAGGAAGAACAAGATGAGCATGCGAACGGCAGCTGCAATCCCTGTGTGTTCTACACTATTCATCGAGGTTGTAGCAAGGGTGATCAATGTTGCTACTGCCACCTCCCGCACGAAGATCGCCAGAAGCCCGCACACCGCCCGCGGAAGCAAACGCGCGAGAAGTACAAGCAGACGGTGCAGAGCATTCTGGAAGCGTATCAGGCTGGGCCAGCGAAGTGCGTGGGCAGCCCGAATCTGATGGAACCATAAAAGAAGGACTTATTACATCATTAAAGTTGTTTCTCTTCATTTTGTCCTTCCTATTGTATCGTATATTTCATGATACATGCATGTGTACGTATATATAATATAATGTATTATCTATGTCCTTTGCCGTGTCCTTTTTTCCCCTATCTCCCCTTCCCTTCCCTTGTCTCCTTCTGATTTGACGAAGCCTGCACATTGACATGGCGATCTAGTTGAGAGAACGTGAAGAAGTCTGCAAAGCTCACATGGGCATATTCCGCTCCAGACCGTATAGTCGACACCTTGCACGTTGAGAAAGACCATCATTTGTGTGGTAAGCATGTTCGCAAGACAATGAATTGTGAGGACTCATGTTGGTCTTGTAGAAACATGTACTGTAGATTCGGCTTTTGCAATCTCATTTGATGTAGTTTCAAAGCAAGTTAACGCCGATCAGCTTTGGCATGGTGTTTGGGATCCTTGGCATTGAATATTTCCAGACGTCCTGGACCTTTCAAGTTTGGTCGCTAATAACTTAGTATGCCTTACTTGTATGTGTTCTTTTTCAAGCTTGTGGTGGTCGCCAGGATCAACCGGATCTTCTTCATGATCAGCTTCAGGAGCTGGCCAAGAAGAGCCCATACATCCGAGCCTTTCTTTCAGGCACTCGGGGAGACTCGCGGCTCCGATGGTCCGTCCTGGTCGAATCCTGGCCCCAACACGTTCGGACCCGGAGCGTCCCCCGGGAGGGCCCGAGCCCCGGAGGGCCGCGGGTGAATTCATCGGTCCGACTCCGGTTGCGGACGAAGTGCTTCACATTTTAGGTCATTTTTGCCACCAATCAAACAGACTTCGGTGCATTATGGTGCATTCTTACTTCACGTTGTTTGAATGTTTTGTGTAATGTGTTTGCATGTTTGCGAGGTGTTTTTGTGTTTCAAGAGTGATACCACATCAATTGCTGATCATCACCTGAACCTGGACCAGAAGGCAAGGAATGTCCAGAGGACTCTCTCTGTCCAGCCGTTCGGCCACCCGAGTGACCCACGTAACCCCCCAACCCACCGGGTCCACCCACCGAGTACCGTGGGGACCCGGTGGAGCCCCCTGGCGACCCCTGCCGCGGACTTCGGCAGGATACCTCGAAAGCGTTTTCTCGCCTCCAGCACCTGGGACCGAATGCTGGCCACGCGTGGCGAGTTCGCGAGGTGGAGAGGTTTTGTGTTGGGTCCTACGTTTTTGGTAGGTGGTGTTACTGGCGTCTTTCAGGCGGGCGAGTTTTCGCGACATCAGTTGGAAGAGCTTAAATCACGGAACCAATGAAGGGTTCTTGATGCTCAGCTGGTTTAGTAAGTAGAAAGGGTTTGACTGCGCTTTGCCCCGCGTTTTGGTGGCATTGCAATGTTAATACCTGTTTCCTTCAAGTCAGAGGAGTCCTTTATTATAGTATGTTTCGAGCCAATGAAACAATAAAAACCAATCAAAGCCGTTGAGCATTGGTGAGCATGCCTTGTCTTGTGGCACTATTATCCGTGATTCCTGTGAATCTACATTGGGCTGCCAAAGAAGGCGCCACAGCTGTTCTCAGCTGTTCCCAAGCCTCACTGAGGCTGCCACAGGCACAGGCGGTTGAAAACAATCCGCGCGGGACGAAGAAAGGCGAAGAAAGTGACGTAAGGATGTTCCATGCGTGCGTAGCTCGCTGCGTAACCGACGAACAAAAACACCATAGGTGCTTCAAATCATCACTGGCGTAGACATGTTATTTTGACAATTCGATCAATTCAGATTCCCTAGGTGAGCAAGGAGGCACTGTGATGTATTTGCCATGTTCGGGTCCAGTCGTACCGAACCTGAGGTACGGTGATTGCATCCCGAAAAGGGAATCAATTCAGATTCTAACATCAAGAACAGCCCCTTTTCAGTGGGGACATCGGAGTGCTCATCCCCGCTTTCCTGACACATCGCCTGGTTCCAGGAGCGGGCGGCAAAGGAGCCTGTCTTCTACCTTCACTACTAGCTTCTTGCTACTAGTAATGGCCTCCAACCTAATAGCGATGGCCTCCACCTAGTAGCTTCTAGCTACTACCCTGAGCTACCAGAACCTTGAAAAAGGAAGGTTTTATGTTGTGACCTTTCTAATTTAGGTCTTGAAGAGTGACGTCTCCCAAAACCGGGTTTTGGTGAATGACGTGTATATTGATACATTGAGCACAATAGAAATATATTGCAATCCAGGTAACTTTTCACTGATGCTATGTATCCATACGACCGGGTCACTTGCAAGCCCGGGGGGTATCCTTGGCACGTGTACTGGACACCTTCCCAAGCCTCAATGTGCCGCCCCCATCCTGTCAACCAAACCGTGTGCTACTTCGGTAGGTGGTGCGTACATTCGAACACCGGGCTTGCAACCAGCCTCCGCTGCTTGGCAACGATGCTGTCATTCCAGATAGGGATGGTGAACTTACCAGTAGGGAAGATCATTACTCTCTCAGTTGCACTGACTGACTTCTCTTCAATTTGATGCGTGGAACATATCCGCCACAGAGGCTGCAGTAAATACTATGCAGTTTGAAGAAGTTCTGAGTCACCAACAGTTAGTTGGCATATGCGTGGCAGGGTCCCGTGGCGCCTGCGGGACCTGCGGCCGGGGACTACTGTTGGGAGACACTTCAACCCAATTGGGAGGGAATTGATCCCAACTCCAACCGAATGAATGAAGTTGGCAGCTGTTTCGGAGGTTGTTCGGTTGTAACTTAGTAGGTTGATATCGCCCCGCCTTGGCGTCTTCTCCCAATCGTTCCACTCCAAAATCATTCTGGTCCAATCCCAGCTCCTCGGTTCAATCCTGGTTCACTAGCATTGATCGCGATCAACACGCGAACACATCAACTGGGTTTTATGTTTGAATCATCTCCCAGACACTCCATGTATGCCATATATGCCTACATTGACCCCCCAAACCACCCCAATGTAGGCATATATGGCAGTCCCATGCAGCGTTTGGGTCTTGAATCACTGGAGTTGCTACAGCAAAACATTTATCGCAGTGCGACCCTAAAACTATAGATGGATAAAAATTAGAACCCTCTCATTAATGGGTGCTCCAAAAGCTCGTATTCTGGGATATCAGATATCACTAATTATATAGGTAGGGAACCCCTTCCAATTGATCCTGCCAGCCTTCTCCAGGCAGGTGAGCCGTCCTCATCTAGTGAGCCGGGCAAGTTATCGCCGGAAGCATGGCTGGCACAGGGGCTAGCAGAGGAGTTTGCTCAGAGTTCGAACGATCTTCCCGGAAGTTCGGGGGGATACGAAGCTGGCTCGCCGGTGCAGTCAGCAGTTTGGGAGCCTGGCCACGGTCGCCCCTGCGGATAAAAAAGGGGCGTTTGGCTGGTGGCCAGGCTCCCGTTTTTCTTCTCCAAGAAAGCAACATGCGTACTGATAAGTGAGCAGTAATGACATTGTTTTGACCCCCAAAGTTTAGATTGTTGTGCTGAAAGAAGAGGAACATTGTGCCAGCTCCAGCAAGGATCACAACATAGCCGTTTGGACTGGGGCACATGCTCCAACTTTGGAATGAAACCTTTTTGCCTTGAGTTTGGCACCTGATTGTCTTCAGGCTTCAACACGTGGCACACAAGCTGAAAGGTCCCGGCAACCTTTCGATATGCAATGGTGCACAACAAGGAAGCCATGCGATATCATTCGGAACCTTTTGGTTGTTGTCCTGGAAGTTCGCAGCTGCCAATCTCCGTCTCTGTGTAGTTTTGGTGTCGCTTGTGCTCATGCGCAGGCGCTTCACATCACAGGGTAACATTGTGCAGGAACACAGCAGAGTCACCCGATTTGGGTGCTGCTCCCCCCCGGCACAATGTGCCATGGCGCAATGTATGCCAACCGCAAATGCCGCATGCCCGTTGACCATTCCACCTTTGGAGACTCCCTCTGAACGAGAGGTCCAGAGTGCGAGAGGTCCCTTGGTCTTCACGAGGAATGATTTTGAGCCTGGAAGTGGGCGAGACTTGGCACAGCCCGAATGGTACCCTCAGATGCCGGTCCGTGGTGGGGTAAGACCGCTGCGGATCCGGGCCGCTGGCCCTCATTTATATGATGTTTGAAGATGTTTGAAGGACCTCATCGGACAGTCCCAAGTTGTTTATCCTCAATCCCCCCAATCCAGTGGTGCCAGCACGCTTTCAGCCTATCATGCCCCTCATACACTTCTGTCTAGCTTAGCTAGTAGCGCTGTAGGTGCGGCTACAGACGCCGAGGGAAAAGATATACAAAAACCGACAGACTGAGCGCGGAGGTCATCGAACTGCTGTTGCTGGGGTCTTAGGATTTATCGAAGTGTTGAAGTGCATCTATGAGGATGATGTGGAAGATTGTGGAAGTCATCTTCCAGATCGATGCGTTTCGACATCGATCATCCTGGGCGGGTTCAATCCTCTTGAGACACGGCAGTAGACAAACAGGTTGCGATCCTCAAGGGGGACCATCCATCATTGAACGGAGTGTGTAACATGCACTGGCAGCAATGTTTGCCAACATCAACTGTTGGAAGCGTAAAGACCACCATGTGTAGCCATCCGAACTCCCCTGTTCGCGATTCTGAGAACCAGGGCCGTGTGGGAAGCCTGCATCTCTCGCGGTGTGTGTGTGTGTGTGTGTGTTTGGAGCATAGCTGTTGAATCCTTCAGGAATTCTTCAGCGGTCCCCAGCACCCCAAGCGCAGAACTCACCGTAGGGGTCACCTCCGGACTCGCGGAATCGTGGACCTCTCTGTTCATCCACGAGTGGAGTGCAACAAAAAACACCGGTTGGACTTCATCCCCCGGTTTTGTTTGACCATCTTTGACCCACAGCCAGGCTGCAATTCCGTCCTCCGGTTTTGCTTCAATTCCACTGGTCCGAAGGAGTGATCCGGTCCACCGGTCCGGGGGAGAAGAAGTCCTCCGGTTTTCCCGTTTGGGTTCGAACTGACATGCAATAGGTGCATGCAGCATAATATGATATTATATAATAAGACATTATAGGACACTGTAAGCTTATTGTATATATTGGGTTTGTCCTATTACTTGTAACAGTCAATAAACAATTCTCACGATTTTAGAGATGTTGACCTGCAACCCAACCATCATCATCCACTGCTACTGGTAATAGGATAGACTGTATATGTGTTGTTGATTTACCTCAAGAAGCATATTGATAGAGGTACATCGCACATTCATGTTCTTGATGGCGCAGCAAAGTACAGTAACTATTTTCCCAAACAAGACAAACAACAGGAAATGGTCGTATGACTGATGCGTTGATGCAGTACTATTATTGAAATCCCAACTCCTGGTGGCAGCACACCACTGGACCATCCACCAGGTCAACTCAAGTCGATGCCTTCAAAAGCTGTTGATGCAGGTTGTCATCAACCCAACAAACTCAACTTCCACCACGAAATATTGATCTCGAGATCTCTGGAGCTCTGGAGCCCGATTTCGGGTTGTACATGGTGAATATATGTAAATATTCATGAGGTTCATTTTGAGTGTCTCCTAAATGCCACAAGTGCCTTTTTGCAGGCAAATATCACCAACATCAACACCGAACGCCCGTTCATCCCCGTTCCGAAAAAAGAAGTCTCGGTCCCTTTCCCGGTGAAGACGACGGTGAAGTTCGATTCTCAGGCCGATGCCTGGGTCGCTCGCATGAACGCAGAAGCCAATGCCAAGGCGGATCGCGGTCGACTGTTTACGGTCCCGTTTGGACAACCCTTCTCGGTTTTTCCGCAGCGGTTCGTGCCGTGCGAGTGCCGTGCTGAGAGACTTCATATCAATTCCACAGTGCCAAGTTGCTTGATGACACATGATGAAACATTACATCCGGCCAGGGGCAAAAAGATGCAGAGATGTGGTGATGAGGATCTTACAGCATATATTCCTTACGATCAAACATGACAACCATGCAGAGACTGTCATCTGAAAACTGCATCCAAGAGAATGTCTCAAAAGCTGCCTCTGAACAGCTGTTAGAGAAAGCCAGTGACTGCCAGTGCTGTTCTGCAGCTCTTCCCAATGTTGTGTACAGATGCGGCAGAAAGACGTTTGTTTTGCTTCCCATGGCGTCCCATGTAGGTATATAACCTACATTCACCCCTAAAATGGTTCCAATGTAATTAAGGAAATATATTCCATACATAATACATGTAGCAGTTTGGTTCCTTCAAGTCTTCCGAGATGGTTCTACGTTCAACCGCAGACATCTGAGTCTGAGTACATTTTCTCACTGCGCAACAAAGCATGTGGCTGCGTCAATGTGACAAAACTGTCTGAAGCACTTCGCTCTCAGACCATCCATGTACGGAATACTGGCTGGTAGTTTCAGATGCATATATATATATACCCTGACGGTCCAAGACCATTCTGAAAATGGGCCTTCGGGAGAGTACATTTTAGTGTTATGAAAGACCTTGAGACATGATTGCCTCAACCATTTCAGCCCAAGTTTGGTCTCAATCCCTGCCTTCTCGTAATGGTGGGGCTGGTGGGGCTTGATCCATCAAGATTGACATTGGTGGCTTGGGTTGCATTCAGTTTTGTGCAACTCCACCATATGGTGAATGTCCTGGTAACTTCGGTGGGCATCACCGCCTAAGGTGGAAATATGATTTGGAGATGCGGATCAAGAAAGCTTTGAAGCTTAGACATGGCCTGAGTCTATGTCTTTTGCAAGTTGTGGCAGTTTACAAAGACCAAATTTGATCCAGTCCAAAACCGGAGGATTGCTTTGGGGGACTCTTCCTTTTTCGTGGACCCGTGTGAGCCGCCTCAAGGATTGGCAAGCGATCTGAACCTCCAGCACCCTCGCCCAGTTGTCCACACAGGTGCCAACTTCAACATCAGTGTCTTTTGCAAATCGGATGGAAAGTGTATGTGGCACTTTAAATTCACACACGCGATTGAGCTTTGAGGGTTCAAGCCAGCGCTTACTTCATGTGTCCAACATGCCCCAACCATTCTCAAATAATCCAGGACTTTTGGTTTTGGGGGACATCTCGTAACCCTTCTTGGCTTTTGGGTTTAGGGGGTTCCTGATCAGACTTTGATCCTGCCCTGCGGCCCTCTTTTGGCATGGCGGTGATGTCCAGTGAAGACCGAGTAGCCCTGCTCAAGGTGCTTCAGCAGCAGCTAATCCACAAGGCACTAATTATATGCCAACCCGTTGTGTCTATGGGATCGGGTCGTATCGTGTCATGTCATGTAGGACCTTGGGTCCGACCCAAACAGCTCAGGAGTTCTACCGCGAGTGTCTTGACAAGGAGGACTTCATACCCACAAGACGCAAGCTGCTGAGGCAACGCGCAGGTCTAAGGGCCAAAGACTCAATGGTCGCTTGGCACTATGCAAGGTACCATTCAATGTCTGTCTTTCTGATCATGCAAGCTTCTCACAGTGATATGTGTTGGGTGGGCTTAGGTGCCTCCATTCAGCTTTGTTGGGAGATTCTGCAAAGGTGACCGGGTTCGAGAGGTGGAGGCCGGTCCCATGTTTCAAAGCTACACTGAAAGCTCCGCGATTTGGGCATTATATATGTGATGGTCAGCCGCAAGCATTTGAACCAAAAAACTGTACCAATACTTGCCTCCATGTCAGTTCTAAGATGCACCAGGTCGAACAGGCCGAGAACAAAGCCTTTCTTGAAGAGTTTCTGGCAACTTTCTGTGAGCGGTTACCTTCAGCCCGTGAATGTGAGGACAGCATAAGCATAAATCAGTGTGTGTGTGTGGTAGCTGCAATGGCTGTCCCTACTATGGGTACTGTGCCATCCACATGTTGGAGTATGATTCCTAATGTGCTTTGGAGGAGGCGTTGGAGTGGGCATCAACTACGTTTGGATTGAATCCCCAGTTTGGATGTCATGCTGAGCACCAGGTTCCTTGGCTTAGATCGATCACTTTGCACCTTAGACCAAGTGCTGCCAAATGGTGTGTTTACTTACTATGATAGTTGGAATTCTGTCAGCATGATAAAGATGGCTCTCACATCTAGGCTTGGGCTGCTGTGGAAAGTGGTGTGCAGCTGGCTTTCTGTCAATACTGCATGACCCGCTTTCAGCGGGCATCATCTGCGAGGTGGGTTCTGCACTTGTCATTTCCAATATATTGCATTTTCGAACAGTAAATTGGTTGATAGCTGATTTGGGGGTACTTGATTGACCCTTGGCTCAGGGGTGGACGCCCTGGCATGAAAGCAATCAAAGAGATCATCAAGGCAAAGTTGCAGGCCCATGACTAGTTCCAACTATTGTATACGTACATGCATGTTGCAATGGAGTTCCAACAAAGCCCACCACTTCCCTCGAGCCCTCGCTTTGCTGTGGTCTAGGCCTGCGGAAAGCTCACACCACAAGGAAAGAAAAAGGCCACACGTGGCCGCAGCGCTTCGACACAGGATCGAGCTCCTGGGATGTTCAGGGTATTGGGATGTATTGGGATGGTATACCATCAAAACTAAGGTGATTGAAGGTGTTGTCTATTGAATCTATTGGTTAAGGTGGTTGAGGTGGATCGAATTTTGGCAAGCCTTTCCTTGTTTGGCAGGACCTGAAAGAAGATGGAGCAACTGAGGAACGTGAAGCAGAACATGAAGAAGAGGTCAGCTGGGATGTGGGGATCTTGGGAGGTACCCCGCATTAGGCATCTTGTCCTCAATCTAAACCCGTTCAATTACGCAAGTACTTCGCAATGCAATGATCCCATGGCTGCAATTGATGTCATGCATCCCAGAGCTCACACCAAGAAACACTGTATTCTGGCAATTAACTGCCGTATATTTACTGCCTTTCAGCGCCGCCAGGACCAAGAAGAAGAAGAAGAAACTGAGGAGGATGAGGAAAGTGAGGAGGATTGTGAAGTGAAGGAGGTGGATATGTCCCACCCTGACATGGCAGAGACGCTGCCCATGGATTTTGCCAATGATTTCGCTCCAGCAGCTGTTGCTCAGCCAGTCATGCCCCAAGACAGCGAAGTGTTCTGGGATGATAGCCAAGTCATGGCCCAAGAAAGCCAAATGTTCTGGGATGATAGCCAGGCGGTGGAAGATGCCACCCAACACTATGAGCCAGGAGGTCGACCTGATGAGGAACAAAAGAATGAAGACAGAGAGGACGACAAAAGAAATGAAGAGGATGGGAAGGATGAGGTGAAGAAGGAGAACCAGAGCAATGCAAGTGGTGCAAAAGCCATCGAGGCCAACAAGGAAAAGAAGGAGGAAGAGGAAAAGCTACAGCCGCTACAGGAGAAAGCTGATGAGGAGGGCGGGGGTCAAAAGAGCCAATATAGCGCAGGTGATGCAAAGACAATCAAGACTGAAGAGGAGGTGGAAGACTTGAACAACAATGACAACATCAAAGAAGAAAAGGCCGCCCTCGCAAAGATCCAAGAGGAAGAAAGGCACTTGAAGAGAAGTGTTCAGATGGAGCTTGCGCAATCTTCTCAAGCAGTGAAGTGGGCCAACATGGTTCCAGATACCATGATCAACAGTGCGAAGAAAATCCAATTTCTCCATGATCACGCGTGCAAAATAGAGGATGCGCTGAAAGCCTATGGAGAGCACCGGCATGTAAGGAAAGAAAAGGAGAAGCAAGTCAAGGAACTGGAGGAGATGAACCCACAAGACTTGGAGAGTCAGAAGCAAAGTGAGGACAAAGAGGAAAAAGAACAAAAGGAAGATGGAGAGGCAGAGGAGGGTTACCCGTACCCCAAATCCGGCTACGCTTTGTCCATGTGGAGGGCAGGTGGGAAGAAGATGGTGCAGCTTAGCCACAAAGGCCTGGACTCGACAGTGATGTTGGACCCTGATGTGAAATGGGAGCTTGAAGAGAATGATGATGGAGCTGATGTCGTATTCATCGCCGATTGCAAGAAGTCTACCTCGGAGGAATGCAGAGAAATCTTTGCGCAGCAGGACATGCCGAAGACAGAAGCAAAGGTGGAGGATGAAGCTGGCAAAGAAGAAAAGAAGGAAAA